GAGAACAATAAACCCCAAAGCAGTGTCTTTCCTCCTTGTGGTTTCCCACGGAGCTCCCTCCCACAGGTCAAAACTGCAGTTCTTCCAAATTACCACTAAGTGTCAGGCAGGGAATAGTCAATCGCATGTTTCGGTGATTTTTTTTTCAGACTCGCAGCCTCAATATTCAGTGAGAAAGAAGTACTCAGTGAACTTTCTGATCCACTCCTCTTTTGACCCTGAGAAGAAAACAATAATCTGGTGCTTTTCTCTTGAAATTAAAAAAAAAAAAATCTTTTGGTTCACAAAAATGTCTTTCTTAAATTTCTTTCCCCCTTGTTCAGTTGCTTAGTATTTTAACTCTTTCTCAATGACGAATCTTCATTGTAGTATTTGTAGTTACAAGAACCACACCATGAAAGATCCCTGGAGGAATGCAGATCAAACACAAATTAATAAATTGACAAAAAATACAATACTCATTCAATTCTAACTATAGATTTGAAAGGACTAAACTAAAAACTTTCCCTATCATCACTCAGGGTTTCCCTTCTAGATCATATCAAAAAGATAGCCCTGTCAGGCAGTCCCTAAAAATCATGATTCAAATTAAAAAAATAAAAAAACATATGGCTCAACATAGCATTGTAGTCAACAGTTTCATAAATAACTTTTCCTGGGAGATGTGAGAACCCTGAAGTTATTTTCCGCTGCTTAGAGATATTTTCTACTCAGATCAACTCCAAATTCCAGATTGGAGACATTGATAATTATTGTGGAAAATTCATACTTTTAGAAACATCCAGAGACATTAAAACACTTTGACCAAACAGCCAGACAGCTTGTGGAGCTAAAGGCATTCTACTATTTCTGTTAGACTTGGCAACACATGCAAGTCTGTTTCAAGGTTTGCTTTTGTTATGGGTTGAGTTGCACCCACCATAAAAATATATGTTGACATTATAACCCCAGCACCTCAGAATATGACCTTCTTATTTGGAAATGGGGTCACTGCAGATGTCATTATTTAAGATGAGGTTATACAGAAGTAAGGGCTAGTGGTAAAGAACCTGTCTGCTAATGCCGGAGACATAAGAGATATGGGTTCGATCCCTGGGTCAGGAAGATCACCTGGAGAAGGAAATGGCAACCCACTCCAGTATTCTTGCCTGGAGGATCCCATGGACAGAGGAGCCTGGTGGGCTACAGTTCATAGGGTTGCAAAGAGCTGGACACGACTGTCTGCCATGTGTGTGAAAGTGAAGGTATTAGTCACTCAGTCATGTTTGACTCTTTGTGACCCCCATGGACTGTAGCCCGCCAGGCTCCTCTGTCCATGGAATTCTCCAGGCAAAAATACTGGAGTGGGTAGCCATTCCCTTCTGCAGGGGATCTTTCTGACCCAGGGACTGAACCCAGGTTTCCTGCACTGCAGGCAGATTCTTTACCGTCTAGCCACCAAGGAAGCCCAGATTCACCATGTACAACATACAAATAAACATATATTCAGCATTTTACACATAGCACTATAACATATTCCTCCCAGTTTGTCAATGAATGTGTTTTGTGCTGATACAATTTTGTGGTCTTCTGGATTGCCACGGAATGACAGTGGGAATCAGCAGTCCTATAGCCTTCTCCCAGATCCTGGGATGCTCATTTTGTGTCTCCTTAGGTTTCTTGTCCACATGCCACCCTGTCTCTGGAGACACCAGGACACTTCAAACGTCAGGCCCGTTCTAAGCCTGGTGTGAGAAGACCCAGACCAAGGGCGGTGCTGGGACCATGTCACACCATATGCAACATCTGAGGTAGAGATTATTTATCTATTTAATATTTACTTTTACTTATTTATTTGGCTGCTCCAGGTCTTAGTTGCAGCATAAAGGATCTAGTTCCCTGACCAAGGATCGAACCTGGGTCCGCTGCATTGGGAGCATGGAGTCTTAGCCACTGTACCACCAGAGAAGTCCCTGAGGTGGAGATTTAGACTTAGATGATGCCCTGTCATTATCTTTGAATAAAATTTAAAAGGAAGTTAGGAAAACAGATTGCTGAGGTAGAATGTGTTTATTAATTTATTCACTATATATTTATTGAATGCTGTGCTGTTTTTGGTTGGAAAAAGAAAGCACGCGACGCTATTTTAGAACAAAATAAAAATAGAGCGGGAGGGAACGGATTGAATGAGCCACACTTTCTAACTCACCATTTTGCCAGGAAGAGCCTTACTTGAGGATTTGCTGCTTAAAATTATTTGTGAGGTGTAGCTTAAGGGTTGAGATAGCACCGTTATTTTAGACAGATCAACATGATTGATATCATTGCAGCGCTTCACAGTGTCATTGTAGTCTCTGGTTTTCCAAGTGTTGATGTTTGAGAAGAATTGCAATCAGACTCCGTTTCCTAAACTCCAGGTTGGCTATTTCTTAAACCAAAAAAAAAAAAAAAAAAGTGTATCCTTAACTTTATGCTGTGAAGATGAAATAAAACTCCCTGTTTCTTTCCATAATAGGAAGATTGTATATGTGAAAAAGCTGGAGTTCTTTCAAACAAAGGACCCACACACATCCAAATTGTTACGTGATCACTAAAGTGACCCTTTTTGGGGGTGCTCACAATATGCTGAGCATTAAAGGAAATCAGGTTCTTTCCTTCCCGCTGCTGCATGATAGGCATGCTACTGTGAAAAGTGTAGGAGGTTAGTAACTGCCAGGTCTGACAGCTGGTAAATGCTGCAGTGGGAATATGAGCAGGCAGGGCATTCTGCCTGCAGAGCCTGTGAGCATTTATGGTGCACCTACAGTATGCCCGAAGTACCATCCAGAACCAAGCAATGGACCCACGGGGACCTGGGCTTGCATTCTAGCAAGTCTAACCTGTGCAGTACAGACTGCCATTTCCTTCTTGAGGGAGTTTTTTTTTTTTTCTTTCTCTTGTTAAGTAAGCTGTCTCCCATTCCCAATGTGCTATCAGCAATTTTCCTGATTTGGGTGGTTTATACAGTTAAAATATCAGATGCTCTGGGAGTGTATTGTTTGTGGACCCTGACTGAAAAGTTGATGGCACTAAACTTTGGATCGAATTTGATCAGACTACATACAGTTCATTCACAAACCAAAAAGCACCATCTGACTAATGTTTTGCACATATCATTTCACTTCCAAATGTCAAGTACTATTTTTTTTAAACTGTAAAGTAGTTAACAACACACTAAAAACCCTTCAAATGTGTTGCAGTTGAGGTATGTACATGCACATAAGTTGTGGCTGCATCTTGCTCACTTTTCACATGTGTGACAAACATGGTTTTACTACCAAGTTGGAACTCATGAAGGCTGACCCTGGTTTTGAAAGACTCCCCCTCTCCTCCTGCCTTTAATCTTCATTTTTATTGGAATACCAAAAATTTGATAATGATTATCCTCCAGACGGACTGGGGTCTATAGTTTGTCTGTTAGACACTTCTGGGGGTATTTAGTTTTCCTCATTCAGGCTCACTCTTTCCCCTGGGTCGCTGTCTTTCTCTCTAAGCTCCCTTTCTAGTTGGAGATGTCCTCATTAGTCATGTGATGGTCATGAATGGTCAGTAGGAAGAGACCAGGTTATTGCATCTAATGCTGTATAAATACTCCAGAAACTTAGAGGAGTCTTCTGAAAAATCTCCACAGTGCAACTCTGTTCTGTTCCCATTAGCTTTCCACCTGTGGTCATTTACCTGTGTTTAGACACCATAGCACCTGATGCTTGAAAATGCCCCCAAAGTTACAGCAATAAGAGAGAAGGCAGTCTTTTTTTTCATTGACAATCATAAAACGAGCCAAGGTTAATGAAATCATTTTGTTCTTAGCATTACTAAATTTAGGACTAAAACAGCCAATTTCCTAACAATTTAGCACATTTATTCTTCCAGGTCAAAGAGCACATCTGAACTGTCTTTAATGCAGAGTTCTCACTGCAAGGCCGAGCACGCTGGCACTCCACGGCTCCACTGACTGACTGACCACCTACAACTGTTTGACTGAGGTTGCCAAGCAGGCTTGGCACAGACATCCTCAATTAACAGATTGGATAGTTGCTAATTATCTGGATGAAGGATTTGGCTCCCTCAGCTTGCCTTTTCCTGCAAACAGGAAGGAAAAGATTCCACCAGAGTGTTCTGAATTATTGGAATTTGTCCCCTGTGGCCCACCATGATGTCACACTGACATTTTCTTGCAAGCAGTTTTTGAGGTGAATGTGGAGTTTAGAAAGTTAATTTGGTGAATCAAATACATGACTTAGTGTTGAAAATACTGTAAATCTGAATGCTTTGGTTGTGATGAAGACTTTAGAAATGCTGGGTGGGGGAAAACGTTTTTGGGGTATTTATGAATTCTTTCCCTGGTGAACTACTGATGATCTGTTGGTGGACTGCCCGGTTCCGTGGGTTGTCTGTGACAAGTTGTTTGTCTAGACTGGCTTCCTTCGTCCCTGAATCTCATGCCTTTCTGTGTCGCTGCCCACCCGCACACCTGGTATGTCAGCAATGCAAACTCATTTGACATGAGCACAACAAAATTGCACTGCACAAGGGAAATTTGTCGTCAAAATACAGAATATATTGTACATATATAGACATTATACTAAAGTTATTCAGAAATCCCCTTTGCTTTTTAAAAAAAATACTTATTTTTAATTGAAGGATAACTGCTGCTGCTGCTAAGTCGCTTCAGTCGTGTCCGACTCTGTGCCACCCCATAGACGTCAGCCCGCCAGGCTCCCCCGTCCCTGGGATTCTCCAGGCAAGAACACTGGAGTGGGTTGCCATTTCCTTCTCCAATGCATGCATGCAAAGTCACTTCAGTCGTTTCCGACTCTGTGCAGCCCCATGGACAGCTGCCCACCAGGCTCCTCTGTCCACGGAATTCTCTAGGCAAGAGTACTGGAGTGGGTTGCCGTTTCCTTCTCCAGAAGGATAACTGCTTTACAATATTGTGTTGGTTTCTGCCATACATCAACATGAATCAGCCATAGGTATACATATATTCCCTCCTTCTTGAGCCTCCCTCCCACCTCCCGCCCCATCCCACCCCTCTAGGTTGTCACAGAGCACCCGATTAAGCTCTGAGCCATACAGCACATTCCCACTGGCTCTCTGTTTCCCATATGGCAGTGTATATTTTTCCTTGCCACTCTCTCCGTTCATCCCACCCTCTCCTTCCTCCCCCACCGTGTCCACAAGTCTGTTCTCTATGCCTGTGTCTCCATTGCTGCCCTGCGAAGAGGTTCCTCACTACCATCGTTTCCCTTTGTTTTAATCCTTATCATACTTTCTTTTAAAAAAGAATTCACTTCATTAGTAAGTAGAAGACAGGGAACATCTCCCTTTGATAACCAAGAATCTTGCTGAATTACAGAGACTTCAATTTCAGCATTGATTTTCATCATAAAATACCATAACTGTGTTGGAAGAGAAATGATTAGATCAAACATAAACCTATTTCCACTTGTGGATGTTTTTTCATGTCATAAAACATGCAAAAGGAAAATAAGACCAACTGTAAAAACAAGACAAGAATGACAAAACCCTCTAGAATATTAATCTTAAAGCCAGACTATACAGGATTGAAAATGGATTTCCCACTTTCTAGCTGTGTGACCAAGGGCAATGACTTAAGCCTTCTGTGCCTCAACATTCTCATCTATAAAATGGGGATAATGAATTGTCCCTACCTATCTCATAGGGTTGTTAAGAGGATTAAGTGAGTTGATTAATGTAAAAGACTTGTACAGTGTCTGATGCATCAGGTATGCTAACACCAATAAATGTTAGCTGTGATTAATTGGGGAACTTTTAATTATCTGTTCATTTATTTAAGTTTTAAACATAGTATGTAGAGAAAATTTTAAAAACTTGGAAAAATGATGTTTTAGAAGGTTTTTAGTGATTTCGGCTTCTAGAGGTGGAAATATTATGACTTCATTTTGATACACTCTCTGTGATAAGCTTCCAAGTCAAGCACATAAGGCTTCCTGGACAAGCTGTGGCTTGGGTTATCATTTGCTCTGGTTAGAGACGTAAATGGTGAGCATCATTCCCCGTGGCTTTCAAGGCAGGAGAAAGTCCTGAAAAATGTAAGATGTTGATTGAAATTTTGGTGCCCCACACAAGCTAAAAATCCTGAATCTGGAAAATGTGTGGAGACTATGCCATCTTCTGGGCTCTGAGGGATGCCTTCAGCTGTGGGGGCGGGAGAGGAAGAGGAGTGATTGTGGGGACAGGACTTGTCTAAGGGTGGAGCAAACAAGAAGGTGGGGGACGGGCACCCCAAAACAGGTGCTAGCATCTCTGTTGACTTGGCCCCCAGAGCCTTAAGTGCCTGGAACAGCAGTCGTGACTGAATAGACGTCGGCTCCAAAGTTCCCCGAGTCTTTGAGTTTAAGGGATAAATTGCCAGGATAGCCGTGGGGAGAGAGACCGGACCACGTGGTGGACCAACTAGACAGGTAACAACGGACATTCAGGGAGGGTAGATGGTTTGCTTGGTCCACTCAGGTAGCCTGTGATAAAGGTGGGACCAAAGCCCTGGTTTCCTAACTTCTCATCACATGTTCTTTTGGCTTCCTCCCAAGTGCTTTGAGAAATTTAGAAATCTGGTTAGAGCTGTCTTGGTGCCTGTAACTCTTGAGAAAAGTGGAGTTGGCTGCACAAGTCGAAACCTTGTCAGTGTATCTTATTCTTCAATGGGGAGGTGAGCGTATTCGGATAGAAGCTACCTGGTAGAGTGGAGCTTCAGATAAATCAAGAAATACATTTGACAGTGTGTGAACTGTGAAATATGCTTTGGTCCACTGTCTAGTTATACCACTTCTATTTCCGTGGACTGACAAAAGCTGAGGACACCAAGGGATGTTTCCTACAGACTTAACAAGCCACCGCTATGCAGAAGGGTGATTTGGAGCCTGTCTCCCATAATTAGGAGAGGCAAAGGTGTTCCCGGTGTTTCTTCCTGAGCCATGGAAAGGAATATCTTGAGCTTTCCCCTCCAGCAAAGACTGTCTGTTAATACCCAAACTACTTTCAGATTTATTGTGACAAGTGATACAGTACCATGTTCAAGGAAGAATTTTGGGATGCGTGCCTTGGAAACTTTTTTTTGTTTCCCATCTGTTTTGCTTGTCGCAATTCCTGTTTGTTTAAGATGTACGTGTGCCAGAAATGTGGAAAGAATGTGTGTAGCGACAAGTGTTATCGAGCCATTTTCACACTGGACTTATGGGAACCATGTGCTGCCCATCTGTGAAGCTCTCATTTTATGCAAATTTAGAAAATATATTCTTATGTCATGTTGCCTTAATGCCCAGGGGTAGATTAGAACCTACATAAGGAGGAGAGAGACAAGGGGGGAAATGACCTCACATCCAGTGACAGAGTGGCCTTGCTGCAACTAAAGGAAAGCCTGGGATGTGTGTTACTTGTCAAAAAGTGCAAAGTCAAAGGGAACTCTTCTCCCCCAAAGTGTTGCATGTGGTAAAACAATTATGTCTTTAAGTAGATTGATTTCTTTAATCTGTGAATGAGATTATAAGAGCCACTATCTCAAGAGGCTTTTAATGGTAGAGAAAGTATATGTTTATCCATGAGTCTTTTCCATCTTCTGGAGCATTCTATGATAAAGGTCTCAGATAGTCTCTGGGTTCTAAAGCAGAGCACTCTTAAGGACGATATTGTTGTTATTTAGTCACTAACTCGGGCCCGACTCTTTGGGGCCCACTGGCTGTAGCCCACCAGGCTCCTCTGTCCATGGGATTTCCCAGACAAGAATACTGAAGTGGGTTGCCAATCCCTTCTCCAGGGGATTTTCCCAATCCAGGGACTGAACTCCTGTCTCCTGCACTGGCACATGGGTTCTTTACTACTGAGCTACCTGGGAAGCCAAGGAGGATATTAGTGTGTGAATATTTCTGAGGAATTGTTTTCTCTGGCCCTTTAAAACTATGATTGTAATTCCGTTTATCTCCACCCAGGGACTTAGTCAACAAGCATAGTCTTGTTAAGTGACCATAAATCAAGGAGGAAAGAAAGGGCTCTTGGAACAAGCCCTGTGCCTTCATGTCGATTTGAGAAGTGACCTGCACCCAGACCACTGTGGGTTATCCTGAGACCAGGTCAAGCAAAATGTCCATGGACTTGCCTTCTTGCGTGGCTGAAACCAACTTCGCGTGTTTCATATCAGCAGGAATCTAACTACTTAAAATGAATCTAAATCCATTCTCAGACTTCAAGACAATAAAAAGCTCAATATAAATGAAATTTTTATATCACTAAGATGGTCACAACTCTAAGAAACAGATGGTGAAGGGGTCTCAGAGAAGCAGCTGACATGAGAAGGGAGGGTGATGATATTTGGCTGTGCAGTGCTGGGGCTCTGAACGCAGAGAAGGGTGGGCTTCATGGGTGCGTGACCCAGGCCCCCTGCTTAGAAGGGTCCTGAACTTGGATTAATATTTGCTATCACCATCTTGAAGTTCTTAATGATTTTTAAATGGGATGCCTCCCATGTTTGGGGTTCACTGGTGGTTCAGTGGTAAAGAATCTCCCTGCAATATAGGAGACACAGGAGACATGGGTTCGATCCCAGGGTGGGGAAGATCCCCTGCAGGAGGGCATGGCAACCCACTCCAGTATTCTTGCCCGGAGAACCCCATGGATAGAAGAGCCTGGGAGTCTACAGTCCATGGGGTCACAAAGAGTCAGACACAATGGGAGCGACTGAGCACGCTCCCATGTTCATTTTGTCATGGGTCCCACGGATTATGTAGCTAGTCTGCTGATTAAGTTACGTCATATGTTAGTTGCTTTAGTCGTGTCTGACTTTTTGTGACCCCGTGGACTGTAACCCTCCAGGCATCTCTGTCCATAGAGTTCTCCAAGCAAGAATACTGGAGTGGGTAGCCATTCCCTTTCTCCAGGGGATCTTCCCAACCCAGGGATCAAACCTGGGTCTCCTGCATTGCAGGCAGATTCTTTACCATCTGAGCCACCAGGGAAGCCCATTCCTGCTGAAGATACATTTAAGTAAATATTTGCAAACCCAAGGAAGGTGCGAGAAGGGAAGATGAGACTGAGAGGTCCAGCTTGAATGGGAGGGCCCAGTGTAGTGAAAGATCTGCTGCCCCCTCCCTCCATCACCAATATTATACATCCTCCAACATACAGCAGGATCCTGGAACTGCAGCCTTGTCCTTCTTGCATAGGCTTCTTGGTGCCTGTCCTCACAAGCGTGGATTCCTCTTCATCAGTTCCTATCTGGCCTTGTATTACCATCTATTTTGCTGCTAGTCATTGTCTGGGAATCCTGAACACAATTATTCGTGTAAACTGTGGTCCCACTGACATGGCAGTGGGACTGGGAAAAATTCCAGAGTTCTGTTTAGGTTGTTAAGTTTGAGATGCCTGTTCATAAGCTTTGTTATTCAGTAACTCAGTCATGTTCGACTCTTTGGGACCCCGTGGACTACAGCATGCCAGGCTTCCCTGTTCTTCACTATGTCCTGGAGCTTGCTCAAACTCATGTCCGTTGAGTTGGTGATGCCATCCAACCATCTCATCCTCTGTCGTCCCCTTCTCCTCCTGCCCCCAATCCCTCCCAGCATGAGGGTCTTTTCAAATGAGTCAGTTCTTTACATCAGGTGGCCAAAGTATTGGAGTTTCAGCTTTAGCATCAGTCCTTCCAGTGAATATTTAGGGTTGACTTCCTTTAGGATGGACTGGTTTGATCTCCTTGCAGTTCAGGGGACTCACAAGAGTCATCTCCAACACCACAGTTCAAAAGCATCAATTCTTCAGTGCTCAGCCTTCTTGGCCCTGAGAATGCGGGCCAACTCTCACATTCATACATGACTACTGGAAAAACCATAGCTTTGCCTATATGGATCTTTGTTGGCAAAGTAAAATTCATAAGCTAGTGGAGGTATAAAGTAGGTGGTTGATGTCAGTATCCAGAACTCAGGTTAAGTTCAAGGGTCCCATAATTGAACTTCTTCATATCTATTTCCTTTGCTTTGCAATGACCCAAATATGGGTTCCGTGGAGGCACAGGTAAAGAACCTGCTTGCCAATGCAGGAGACTCTGATTCGACCCCTGGGATGGGCAGATCCCCTGGAAATGGCAACCCACTTCAGTATCTTTGCCTGGAAAACCCCATGAATAGAGGAGCTTGGTGGGCTACAGTCAGTCCATGGGGTCGCAAAGAGCTGGACATGACTTAGCA